CTGCTACTACTACTACTACTACGACGCCTGCTGCTGCTCCTAGTGAGAAAGTCTTTCTTCTGAAGGAGCGACTCGGATGTGCTTGACGAGCTATCCTTTACCTCCAGCCCGGCAGTGCAGCGAAGATGGCACAACCCGAGAACCCAACATCCGAAAACCCTGAGTTTCTTAAGAATCGCACCCCCTACGCCTTTAGGGCTTTGGGCTTGGGGGTTTAGGTGAGCATCTACATCGAGCTCGATGGCCTGGATGACTGCACTGAGGACATGTTCCAGGCAGCCGGAAGGTTAGCCGTTCAGGCTTTCAGGGTGTGGGGTGGGTGTAGGATTGATATTGATGTCCGAACAGTCAGCCGCATCATTGCTTACCTGTGGCCCAAAAGGCCTATATTTTTCAGGAACTTTATATATGGAAACCATAAAATAAGGAATCCTAAAACGACCAGGTAGGTCGATTTAGGCTTCAGGTAGGGCTTGCTAAACCGGCCCCAGCACCCTCAGGCCTATCGAGTCATTAGAAGCGGATGGTCACGAAGTACTAGGGGCTGCTCTGGCAAACCCTATAAACATCCTGCTAAGGCAGGTTAAGACCAAAGGAAACCCTCTAACACGCGGAATTGTATCAGCTGTTATCCCCCTCAATCAGTGATAAACCTACGACGACCACGGCCGCAAACCCTAATTCCTAAACCCTAAACCACCGCCAGGATCACCACAACCACCAGGAGACCACCTCGAGACCCCAGGGCTACCCCCTGTGATTGGGACTGCACCAGCGCCAAGAGCCCAGAACCCTAAACCATCCTAAGGCCACAACCTCAATACTCTAAACCCTAAACCCTAAACTAGGTCTAGATCTATGAGCCCGGAGCGCTACACCCCAGAAGAGGCCTCCTCCGGCGAGAAGGATGTCTCCCTCACCATCGCCAAGGCTTCAAGTTTCAAGAGTTGTCAATGTTTTTTGGTGCCAAAATAAACGGTGAGTCGATACACATAAAAACGTATAAGCATATATGTTTGTTTATATATATATA